CTCTCCCCACCTTAGTACCTTTGCACTATGTTTTTGTCACTTGTAACCAACTGTAGAACTGCCATTATTACAAACAATTTGCACTTAACCAAATGTCATCCTTGTTTGTACTGTATATACTGAATAGGGGCAATGGAAAAACTGTCATGGCACCTTGAGTATTCAATAGCTCTTTAAAACATGCTGTAAAAATGTTCAGAACTACTATAACTGGTTTTATGACTGAACTAAACAAATGTGAGAATTTGCTTGAAGTGAACTGCTGTTCTGTACTGGCTGTACTGAAGTGTTGTTCTTTAATGGTGAGAAGTTCTTTTTCCTTTTGCTCCCTGCCCTTCTCCCCATTTCGTTCTCCCCTGATTTTTGTTCCTGCATTTCAGGCTGTCTTCAGAAGTAACTGGCCTTGGGGCTCTGTAATCTGTCCCAGCATGCTCAAGGGGTTGAGCTGCCTGAGAGGACTTTTCCAAAGCCCCCCCTCCCCCAGACAATGCTTTCTATGGACTAAGCGACAGAGGAAATGGTCATTTCTAATTTTATTATTCTGATATCTCAAAATAAATACTTTTACTCTTTAAGCAGCTGTGCTTCTTAGGTCCTCTGTTGCTTTCATTACTGCTCAGACGTACAAACCTTTTGGCTGTTAACCAATAGAAAAACATACAGTAATTGGGATGTACACACAAAATATCAGTAAATTATGTGAGACTTTTATCATAAAGTAATGAACACTGACTACAAACTAGAAGCCCAACATACATATATAAGGAAACAAAACTGATAACACAAGTCATGCAGGTTTTTATAATTGAGCAAAGGGAAGAGGAAGTCAGGGGGACCATAGGCAGTAGAGCCGGGGGTATTTGTATTTGAATACGAATATCCCCACACAGGTGGCAATAACAAGGGTTCAGCCCCATGGGGCTGGATGGTCCACCGATTCGGTGGATCTGCCACGGTCGCTGCAATTCTTCCAATGGCTCCACAGATCATGATCGGCTAGCCACTCCTGGCAGGAGGTAGGACAAGCCTCACTGCAAAGTCGAAGTGTGGCTCACAGATTGCGATACGCAGAGCCATTGGAAGAATCCCAGTGTCTGCGGCAGATCAGTGAGTGGACCGCCCGATCCCATGGGGCTGGACCCTCATTATCGCTATCTGTGCAGGGATATTCATATAAAAATACAATTACCCTCATCTCTAATAGGCAGTATATTCAGTCTTACAGGATGTTCCACCATGTGGTGAGGTGAGATGTTGTGGGCAAGAAAATTGGTCTCATTCAGTCACACACCTGGTGTAGTCTGCACGCTCACTGTTTGGACCTCCATCAAAGACAATATATACTATTCATAGTAAACTCATGGGTTTTTGTTTGGCTAATAAAGGTTGCTTAGTGTAGGAAGCTGCACTAGATTAGGCTCATTGATTCGGTGGGGATTTGAAAAGTCAACTCTTTGGTCAGTTGTACTGATTCAAATAGGCCTACTCTACTTCTGATGTACTATGCTAATGTAAGTAGCAACTAAAGAAAGCCCATTTGAATCAATGGAGTTTACAGAGGAGTTGACTCACCAAATCCCCACTGACTGTCGGCCTACTGTAGTACAATTTACTATGCTAAGCATCAGGATTTCAGCCAAAGAGATTACTTTACGACTGCAGGAGGTGGCTTGTATTTTCTCAATTTACTCATAAACTGCTAGATTACTCTTTTATATACTCAGTATTATATATATTCTAATGAAGACTTACATTTTAATATCTCAAAGGCATAACCACATTAGTCTCTTGCAGCAAAAGCAATAGGATGTCTGTGGCACCTTAAAGATTAGGTTTTGTTTAGCATACGAGGGGGTGCTGATAAGTATTGAGCCTTTCCCAGAAAAAAATTAAGCTAGGAAGCTGTATCTGCCACACTATTCTACATACAGTGGTGCCCTGCATGATGACGATAACGCATTCCGTTATAATCGCTGTACAGCGAAATTGTCATCATGCGAAAATAAAAACCCCATTGGAATGCATTGAAAACCAGTTAATTTGTTTATTTATTTATTAATGTGTTCCAATGGGGGAAATACCTGCTTGTGCAGCGAAGATCCTCCATAGGACGGCCATTTTGCGATCCCTGTCTTGCGGAAATAGGTCCAGAAAACGGGGGAGCCATTTTGTGAACCGCCAATCAGCTGTTTTAAATTGTCGCAGGGACCTAATCGTCGTTAAACGAAAAAAACCCATAGGAAACATCGTTTTGCGATTGCTATAGCGATCGCAAATAAGGCATCATGCGATTTCGTCGTTTAACGGGGTAAGCATCTAGCGGGGCACCACTGTATTCCCCCAGGAAGTCAATGCACTTGTGACATCTGTCCTGCAGCTTAAGTCCCTGCAAATAAAATTCTTCCGACTGCTGGTGTAAGCACTCATTTGCAGCATTAGTTGCCTCCAGAACACTCCCAAATCGTTGTCCCTTTAGGTGTTTTTTTGAGTTTGGGGAACA